AATTTTCTGGGTTGAAAGGTAGAGAACATGTCATAGAGAAGTGGGATAGGATAGGCAGGGCAGAGAATCATTTTTCGGTCTGATTTACCTAACTCTTGCTCTTTGTGACAAGGGTTGGTTTAATGGAGATGATGTTGTATTTTGGGAAAAGACTCATTAAAAAAAAGGCATCAAAAAAAACTTTTAAAATATATTTTAAAAAAGCCAAAAGCCACAGGTTCAGTATTTGCATAAATGCCACATTTATTTCTTAACTGAACAATGCCTTGAGTGTACACAAACAGTTTAAGACCCTATATTTCAACACTCATAGTTTAAGACATCAATAAAACTAGACTCATTACTTGAGTATTGTTGTTATTATACAGTGGTGCCCACAGCAATCACATATGTACAAAGCAAGAGAAATGGTCTCCCAGCACTTTGGGGATGGCATCACAGGAAGAACTCATGTGGACAAACTAATTCATGGAAGCACAGGCAAAAAAAATCCAAAAGAACCACACCTCCCTTCATTTTTAAAGTAAAGCCTCTCAGCAAATGACACCTCCTGAAGACAGACAGTTTCCTTCCCTAGCTTGGCAGTACACAGGTTGAGAGAGGGTACAGGAGTACAAGAGACTGGTTGACCATTGCTTTCTCTTGGCTTGATAGCATCCCAGCCTTCAACATGGCAGTCATTAGGACAGGTCAGGAGGGCCTCCGAGGGCTTCTCAGCAACTTATTTGGCTTGGTGGCTACTTAAGAAAGCATCACCCCAAAGGTGTCACAGGACATGGTAGGCCCCACAGAATTCCGATTTCATCTTTTGTGTAAGCACCCAGGCAATGGTTCTAGCAGTTAGGTCTTTACCGAAAACATCGTTACATAGTGATGGGATTTTCCTATGAAGAGTCTGGAATCAATGAGCTATTGACAGATATCTCATGCACGGTCATAGAGACCAGTCAAACAAACAGTGGGAAGACACCAACGAGTGTTTTCTGTAGTTCATCTTCCATGGAATCTTATTTGGTCTCAGTCTAGTCTAAAGTCATGGCCAATTTGTATGAAAGAATTTTCTTTTGTGGTTATGGTCATCTCAAGGAAACACTGTTACTCTTTTGAGAAAAACAGCCATTTTTTTTTTTCCCAGATCAGGTCTATCTCATGGCTACATGAGGTTGGGTCTGCCTTGCCTTGACCCCATGTGGTGAGAGGTGCTAGAGAATTAATCATTAATTCTCACTTAAAATCCTTCTTGATAGTGAAGGGTTATCTTTGTAAATAGAATGCTACTAGATGGTGAGCATTGTTAAAACAATTTAAAAATGTGTCTTATGTTTATGGTTTATAAATTCTTCCTCATCTTCATCTCTTCAACAATAGCTAGGATTTCTTTGCTACTATCTAAACAAAAAAATCTACCTGGCAACTTGATTCCTGGACCCTAACAATAATAGTACCAGGATTGTAATTCTGTAGTTGGGGGAAAATGTGGGTTACATCAAGTCAAATGTGCTTCAGAACCCTAGTCATTCCCATGCTGGGATCAGACCATAGATAGAATTGTTATAGGTAGAGGTCTACCTAATTGCTGGATTTCAGATCTTTTGATGTTTTGTAAGAAATTCACACAAACCTCAAAAAAGTCTATTGCATTTCTTTTCTGGTCCTCCTCACTTTGTCCCCCAACCATCCCTCCCCCAAATAACAGTGTGCTCTGCAGGTTGGCTGGCCTCAGGCACAGGTGTCCTTAACCAACTGGGAGGGAGGAGGAAGGAGGAAGGGCTTTCCCAGACCGTGTTCTTCAGGATGGCTGACCTGACAACATGGCCCTTAACAGCTTTGATGGCTGTCTGTCACCTTCCCCTTCCTCCCCGGAAAGCTGGGACTCTGGGAGGATTCAATACTTACATCAACTTTAGTCATTCTTTCTTACCTTTCCTGGTATAATCTGAAAAACAACAATAGGCACTTGCAGAAGAAGATCTTACAGGCTGATGTTTTTCCACTCGGTCAGAACATCTTACTAACTTCACTAGGGGAAAATCTTTTAATTAGGTCTGAAAGGAGACAAATGCAGAATATTTCACAAAAGACTCTTGATTCCAATTCAGAATTGAGAAGTGTTGATTTCCAAAGGAAGCATTTAGCTCTAGGAGTATCATCAAGATGGTCTGAAATGCAACCTGTGCCAGCAAGGGACTCACTTCCAGCTCTTTGTGGGTATCTTTTAGAGACCAGGGATTCATATGGCATTTTGTCTACTTGTTTTAAATTTTCTATTCTAGTTATCAGGTTGCCATGAAATACATAAAGGTCTCTGTCATACTTCTAGCTTCAAATCATATTTTTAGGGGCTGACATTTGCTCAAAAATTAGTGTCTTGAAAGAACTTGGATCCTCCTGTATCTGTCTCTTATAAAAGACATTTATAATGGAATAACTTTTCAAAGGGAAAGTCTTGGAAATAGTCTTTTTTTTAATCATGCCATGCTAGAAGGCTAAGGGGCACCATAAGTGTTTTTGGAGGTAGAACAACAAAAAAAACATTCTTATAAGCTTCTTGTAAAAAGACAAAGGACATCTTTTACAATTCTGCTTAGAAGGTGGGTGGTTTAAATGACTGTTAACTTGTAATGTAGATTGGACTATGGATGGTGACTTTGCTAAGGCAAAAACGGGTGTGGGGGTGGGTGAGGAAGACCATGAGGAAGAACCAGTACTAGCCATCTGGGAAATATGACACTACCCACATTGACTTGGGGCCTGAGAGACAGAACAAGGTCCCATTGAAACAGAATGATGCCCTGGCCTGAATATTTGTCCTAAGAACAATTAGAAAGAAAAGGGACAACGAAGAAATCAACTAAGACACCATCCATTAGAGAGTGGAATTTTTGAGTTATCACAATATTTAACTAGTGCCAGAAGTGGGGCAGAGCTGAGCACAACTCTGGAATCTTGGCCCTGGGGATGAATAAACATGGTAGGAGGATGGTTGGAGGAAAAGGGATCTAGAGCTTTTAGTGAGCCTGCTGAAATTTCTGGAGGTTGGCTTTCTAGGTTTCCAAACAAAAACGTATATATAGCTCAGTTTGGGAATCCTGACATACCCACCACAACCGAGAGGATGAAGAAGGGGAAAGAAGGGTAGCCAGGGTGTGCACATGATGATGAGCTGTGATCTGTTCTAGTCCTGTGGGCACTCAGCTAAAGGCCATAGAGATACCTCTCTGAGCAATTGCTGTTCTGAAAGGGCACCGAGTGGAGGGGTCTAGCTAAAGCTCCCGTGATTGGAGAACATACTGAGAGAAGCTCCAAACAATAGATAGTCTAAAGACATTCATCTTTGTAGCTTAATTTGACTGAAAAGCTTGAAACATGCCTATCAGTTGAGCAGAGCCTGAACTTCAAGGGTGTCACTGATAAGGAAGCTGTACTGGTTACAAGAGAACTTCTTGACCTGCCGCCATGGTTTGGCTAGCCATGGAATTCTAGGGTTCTTTGGTTAGCCAGACTTTTTGGGCCAGATAAATGAGTTAGGGATTCATGGGAGCAAGGAATTAAAATTCATGTTATCAGGGGCAGAGGACAAACAGAAACTCTTTTCACATAGAAAAATAAAAATCAGTCTCTGGCAAACATGACACCATCCCACCCCCACCCTTGCTCATCAACCAGTCATTGTCTCATTGAATTCACAGAGCCTTCTCACTAGATGGGAGAAGGATAAAACCCTGTCCAAAATAGGTAGTAAGACTGACCCCTGTGCTTCAAGACAACAATACTGAGTTCATGGGCTGAGTATCTAGAGAATTTAGAGGGACTTGCTGATTTAGTAAGATAGCCCATTATTCCGAAAGGTCCCTCTACCCTGAATTGTAGTGTCTGTACTCTGGCATGCTTCCTGGTTCTAAACTATCCAAATGACCTTACACCCAAGAGCTCGGATTAGACTCCTAGTCAACAAAGAGCAGACTTACAGAAAGGATGGGCATTGGCTCACTGTGATTCCACTATCAGTGTATTGCTGGATCCTTCCCCGCCATTTTCTTTCCATTTGACTGTATAGTCTCTATCCGAGGGCCTCTAAGGTCCATCAATCTCATGAGCTGAAGGTGGGGGTGGAGAGAATGGTCAAGAGTTGACTCTTCCTGATAACACAGGGCACAACTGAGTATAACCCAGTTTGGCTGCATAGGTATAGTTTCTCATTTGAAACTACAGGTTACAACTATAGGTAGGGGAGCCTAGAGAGGACACCTGGGCCCTTTCTATACTACTGCCACCTGGATGCTACTTTGTAGACTGGCTGCCTAAGTCTGGGACTCTCTTTCCATATCCTTGTTCACCCTATTTCTCTGGCATTACAGCTTCAGACTTAGAAATGTCAATTCAACAAACACTGAGTACCTACTGTGTGCAAGGCACACTCTGCCTATCTGGTCATACCTTATGGGGCAGAACTAGTGATGAGAAGATGGATTCATGTTTCCCAGGTGAGGAACAACTGCCTCTCATCCAATATACTGGTTGGGTTTCAGAAAGTAAGGCCTCCTGGTGGCCCCAAACCAGTTGTGCAGTACAAACACATAAACCCATGTACAATGGAAAGGCAAAACCATTTGAAAAAGTGCTTTGTCTCTGAGCAGTGACTCAGGTACAGGGGCGCGTGGAAGTCTGTGTGCGGACTATGGGGTGTCATGGTGCTGGGTGTGTAGGCAGAATGTCCCAGCCTTCTCTACACTTCGGTTTGGGTTAGGCTCTGGGGAGAGGGAAGAAGGGAATGAATGTCCAATACACTGACTGGCCTGCTGAGTGTGCCTGTCCTTCCCATCTCTCCAGCCAGCTCCAGTGTCTGCCTACACACCCCAGCAGAGCTGGGGTTCCCCTGAACCTTACAGGGTCACAGCATTTTTGAAAGGGAATGAAAATGATGTTATCTGACGGTTGTTTATTTCCCAGAACTCCCTCTCCCTAGCCCTGCCCTGCCTCAGTGAGGACTGTCGCCCAGTGTTTTCTGGAGCACCGTAGACCAAACAAGGAAAACTAGAACCAACTCAAATCAATGGCCCAAGGGGAAGGCATTAGAAACAAATGTTTCATAAATACAGACAGGGCTTACAAGGAGTGGCAGAGCCAAATCCTAAAACCTCGCCAATTCATGGTATTTCCGTAATGGATCCATCCATCCTTTAAAAGAAACTCTGATTGGCAGCTGAAGAGCCTGACTTGTGACCTTTGACCTTTTGAACACTCTCCAACCCTCTCTACCAAGAGCTTGCTCAACCTAGGAGTAAAACAATGATAGCTTCTGCTAATGAGCAGTATAGGTTGTGGGGACAGTGGGTCACCTGACGAAGGAAGGAGTGGAAGATTGTGTGTGCAAGACAATGGTCAGGCCAGGCCGTGGCAGTTTAGCGGCTACCACGAAAAACGAAGGTGAAAACTGTTGGCGGGCTGGCGGAAGAGCAGGTGGTCAGGAGTGTCAATGACGGGACAGATCCAAGGTTAGGGACATGGGGGTGGGGAGTGCGGGAGGTTGGGAAGGACCCTCCTACTGGACCCGATGCAGTTGGCAAAGAGATGAGTTAGTGGAAGATGGTCATATTAGATCCTCATCTGGGCTGTTCTCCTTCGAGAAAGTTTGGATCTGTTTCAAAAACCAAGGAGGAAACAGAGTCAGTCAGTGGGTTGTGAGAAGGAAACAGGAATTAAAACAAGGATATCTTTACGCAGGGACTACAGAGATGGCCCAGGAGTTGGAAAACCTGCGTCCAAATGCTGCCTCTGATCTGACACATCTTGGCTGAGGGATACTGGGCAAGGCAGGTATCCTCTGAGCACCCCCAAGACCAGAAGGTATAGGGTGAGTGGCAATCTGCATTGGGAGAGAGGGCTTCTTCTCTGAAAGTGCCTGCACCAATGAGATCACAGTTCTGGTTTTATAACATGTATATGTATACATACATGTACATATGTATGTACACTCATATATGTCTCTCTATATATATACAATATATACATATACAAATATACTAGCTGTGTAAACCTAGATAATTCTCTTAACCTCTGTTTGCCTCACTTTTGTGATCCAAAAAATGGGCATCATCGTAGTATCTACCCCCCAGACTTCTTGTGAAGATCAAATGAGATGATGTATGTAAAACACTTGGTAAACTTTAAAGTGCTGTCTGAATGCTACCTATTATTATCACACACAAAGACGAAAAACATACATATATACACACAGGACTTGAGGTTCAGTGGTGATATAGGGAGCCATTGACGTACATCTACACATCAAGCCTGTAGGTTTGGGAAATAATTTGAGAATTACAAGCAATCATACCTCCCTTGGCATGAGGAATGAATGAATGATAAAGCATTTATTTAGGATCATAGATCTGGAGTGCTAAGTGACTTTGCATCCAGGCCCTTCATTTGGCAGCTGGGGAAGCTGCGGCCAGGGTTAAGTGACTTGCCCAGGGTCCCAGAGCTAGTAAATGTCTGAGACCGGAGTTGAACTCAGGTCTTCCTGCCTCCAGGTCCAGCGCTCTATCCACTCTCCCATGTTTCCCCTACCCTGTCATGATGTCTTCCATTCTCTGAATCCTTCTACCTGCTCCAAAGCACACAGATGCGTATTCTCATACCCCACCAGCAATTCTAACAGGGCTCGGCTCTTAGCTCTGCACACCACCTTTTCACTTCTCTCCACTGGTGGCCGTCTCAGGCTGGCCATGGCTCCGCCCTCGTTGCCGCCTCTTCCAATGGGTGAGTTCCTCCCTAGAGCCACTAGTTGAGGACCTCCAGTGCCTCCCCAATTCCCTTTCTTCCCCCCCCACCCCCCAACCCCCGCTCCTGCCATGCTCCCTTCTGGCCTCCTCCAATCCTAGCTCTCAGACCCACATTTTCATCCTGCAGAATCTCCCTGCCAGCTTCTAGCTTCCTTTTATGCTTTGTCTTCCATCTTTGGAGTGGGAGTACCTTGTAAACAGGGGCCATCTTTCCTCAGTTCTTAGCCCAGTGCTTGGTATATGGTAAGTTTAGTAAATGCCTCATCTAGTCGAATCTACACATTCTCATCCTGGCATTTCTCTAGCAGCCTCCCAGGAGTAGGAACTCTTGGAGTTTCCATATTAGAAAGGCTTTAGGGGCCATCTGGTCCAGGCCACACCAGAAAGGCATTCCAATATTACAGATCCCCATTTTCCTCTTCCCCATTAGTGCTTTACAGTTAAAAAATAACACACACACACACCCCTACCTTATGGTTCCAGCCAAGAGAGGGTTGAATGCATACAGCCAGTCATGCATGTCCTTGTCACTGTTGGCCTGCAAAAGGATGCCTCGATGCTCCGTGCAGACGGCAAACGTGTTGGGAGTCTGGAATAGAAGAGAATCAGGTGGAGATCAGGGCAGCATGGCCAGGGCAGCGTTCTCACAAAGAGTTATCCCGAAACAAGGTCAAGAAAATGCGATAACTAGGAAACGAGGAAATCCAGAGATCCAATTTCAAACTCGCCATGATGATGCTATGATGATGGTGCTTCTATGGGCCCTGTGCCATGTGGGACTATGATGATGGTGGTGATTCTATGTGCTCCTTGGACACAGGGTCCTCCAGAATGGCGGACTTGGAGGTCCAAGCACAACACCTGGGCCTAGGGTTCAGAAAACAACTAGCTTAAAGCCAAGGGGTGTGTGGTCAATACAGAGTAGGCAAAGATCAAGAGTTCTTAGTCTTTTCTGTGTCATGGACCTCTTTGGCAGGCTGGTGAATTCTAGAGACCCCTTCTAAGAAGAGTGTTTTTAAATGCATAAGATACATAGTATTACAAAGGAAACTGGTTATATTAAAATACTGTTGTCTCTCTATATCTATATCTATCCATCTATCTATCTATCTACCTACCTTTATCTATGTACCTATCTATCCATCTATCTACCTACCTTTATCTATCTATCTATCTATCTATCTATCTATCTATCTATCTATCTATCTATCTATCTATCTATCTATCTATCTATCTATCTATCTGTCCATCCGTCTATCCATCTATCCATCTAACTAAAAACCAAGCTCAGAGAGCCCAGGGAGTTAGCCCCACCCCCTCAGTGGCCCCAAGCCTCCCACTACAGTGCCCTCACCAGTTCTGGCCCATTCCAGAGCACATTCTATGCCCACCATGGATCTCCTGCTATTTGTCCTTTCCCTAGCTCACCAAAAACCCTTCTTCCATTGGTGTGGTTTGGTTTAAGAGTACTTGCCTCATACTTAGTGCTAAGATGCAGGGGTGGCTAGAGAGGACAATGTAGCCTCCTCATACTAAGAATCAGTCCAAGGCAGGGTCATGCAATGGCCCGGAGGGCCCATCCACCCTTGGGTCCAATCACTCCTCAACCCTTCTTGGCTGATGGCCAAGGATGCCATGGAGTCTCTGGTGCCATGGAGGGAGTGTCTAACACTGGGTTCACAGAACTGCAGAATCTCAGAGCTAGGAGTGACCCCACATACCTTCTAGTCTAACCCATATGAGGAGGGTTCTCCCTTCTGTGTCATGCCCAAGGAAGGGCCATCCAACCTCTGATTGCTTCTTCCCTCCAGAGGTGGCCCATTTCTCTTGGACAGTCCTGACTATTAGCACGGTTCTTCTGAGTCTGAATTTGCCCTCTCAAACCATCCACTCATTATTCTAGTTCTGCTTTCTGGGGCCACATAGAAGACATCTGTGGCATCAGGGGATGTCAATCGTTAGAGGCCAAGTCTCATGTATCACAGATGCTGCCTGTGGTGAGGAGGCTTTTGGGGATGGGGCGATCAATGAGTGTGAAACATCAGGAATGTTCTATTCCTCGTGCCACGAATCTTTCACTTCTAGGGATGCCCAGCCCCAGGTGTAGCAAGCCCTTGACTTCTCATCAGTGCCTCCAGTATCAACATCCCTCCTCCCACATTAGAGACACAGCTGAGCAGGTAACAGGGGCAGAAATTTTCCTTGGCATTGATGAATTCCCAATTCCCCAACCCCATGCTCCACTCCAAAGGTGGTTCTTGGTTTTTTTTAAGCTGAGTGAGGAACAGACCTACTTGCTAAAGTGGGGAAAGCCAGGAGTGTGCCATGTGGCCAGCTGCTAGTGAATACGTGGGAGGTGGGAGAGAGAGGGACTGGGCTAGGGAGCCACCTGGACTGGGGGAGGAGCCCCAGAAGGACTTTCTGGAGCTCAAAGATGTCTCCCCTACACATCCCTTCATTCTTCTCTTGCCAAATTGGCCTACTTACTGTTCCCAAAGTCACCATATTCTTTCCCATCCTTATACATTAAAAAAAAAATACCCAGACCCATAGGTCTGGACCCTTCACAGAATCATAGGTTGGAAGGGACCTTGACAGGCATCCATTCTGACCCCTACCTGAAAGGAATCTCCACTAAAACATGCCAACAAGTGATCATTGGCCTCTGCTTGAAGGCCTCCAAGGAGGGGGATCCTACCACCTCTCCAGGCTGTGCCTCATTAGAACTGCTGTCATTATTAGAACCAAGGTATCAGGAAGAAAGAATCTTGCCAGGAGTCAGCCAGGCCGAGTTTTGGCCCTGATTCTACCAATAACTAGCGGGGCGATGTTAAGGGAGTCTCCTTCCTTTTCTGCATCTCAGCATCATCATCATCAGAATGGGGTAGGGAGGGTGCATTGCACGAGCCAGCCTTTCCAACTCCGACATTCTCTGCTGGTGAGGCTCTGTGCTCTTTGCTCTCGTGGAGGCATCAATACCACCCCCCCCAGCCCAGCACCCCACTACTCCTCCCAGATCAGTTACCTTGAGCATCGCCTGCTGGTCCTCGCTGTATTCCACCTGGGCAGTGGAAAGGTTGAGAATGAACCTCTCCACAGAGTCCTTGTCACTGTTGTACATATAAGCATAGGGACGCCTCACCACCACAAAGCGCTTGGCCCAACCTGTCGTCTTAGGTTCCAGAAAGTGTAGGTAGCCCTTCTTGGAGACGATGGGGCTGAAGAAAAGGGAAAAGGAAAGGCTTTACTCCTTGGTGAGCTATGGCAGGTGCGTTGGCCTGGGGAGGTCCCACTCATCATTTCACCATCCCTGGAGACTCTTCCCAGGACCTTGAATCTCTCCAGATCCAGGGTCACGAAACCAGCCATCCCAATGAGAATGGAGTTTATGCCTAACTCTGCTCCTGACTAGTTGGGTGGAGATCCAGGCCCAGAGCTTGGCAGAACTGAGCAGGGTTTCAAGCTTTGAAAGGGCTGAAAATACGACCCACGTCTTGGAAACTTCCTCCTCTGCCCAGAGGTGTTCCATGCCTATGGAGCTGGCGAGAGTTCAAGAAGCTAGATTTTTAAAAAATGTTACTTTTTCTGAAAAGCTCTTATCACTTTCTCATGTCACCACATTCTGACCCGGCCAGGGCACCATGAGACCCTCACCCATCACGTCTAGAAGAGTCTGGGGAGGCCTCATGTCACCATGCTCTGACCCACCCAGAGCACCACGCGACCTTCACCCATCACGTCTAGAAGAGTCTGGGGAGGCCTCATGTCGTCATGCTCTGACCCACCCAGGGCACCACGCGACCTTCACCCATCACGTCTAGAAGAGTCTGGGGAGGCCTCATGTCGTCATGCTCTGACCCACCCAGGGCACCACGCGACCTTCACCCATCACGTCTAGAAGAGTCTGGGAAGGTGTCAGCTCCTCAGTTGCCTTTTGGGACCATGTCTTCAACTCGGAAGCTCTCCCTGGAATTGTGCCCATTGCCTGCTGGGTTTGAGCGCTTACATTTGGAATGGATCAGGGGCTGGGAATCTCCTCTGCCACCATATGAACAGGTCTGCCCCTTTTACTCCTGCCTCCCTTAACCACACCAGAGGGGTGAGGCTCAGCTTCCATACCTGACCCGGATCTCTTGTATGTCGGGCACCAACAATCGCTGGGGCTCCTTTTCTGCTTCCGGTCCGCTGGCAGGAGAGGGAGATTTCTTCTGGTCTCCCTCCAACACTGGTTCCAGTTCAGGGCTGGCTGGTCGGGAGCAGGGCGGGGGGTTCCTGAGGGGGCAAACAAGGACCATTTTATTAGGGGAAAGCCTGCATGATCTGAAGTCAGCATGGCCCTGGGTTCAAATCCTTCCTCTGAAACTTACTAGTTATATGATCCTGGGCAAGGCCCTGCACTCTATAAACCTCAGTGTCCTCATCTATAAGACAGGGAGAAAAGTATCTGGCCTGCCTTCCCCACAGGATTGTTGTGAGCATCAAAAGAGATCATGGATATTTTGTAAATGTTAAAGCATCACACAGAGGCAGGGCTTCGCAGTGGGCAGAGAGAGAGCTGGCTTTGGAGCCATGGAGACCTGGGATGTGATGTCTGTCTGCACTCAGCTGAACAATTCTGGCTTCCCACCGGTAGAATGTAAGCTTCTTGAGGCACTATTCCATTTTTGTCTTTGAATGTGGGGGCTCTGTGGTACCTCGCACACAGTAGGTACTTAATAATGGCAGGCTGACTTGAACTGAATTTGATATAATGAGGCAAGGTTGTGACTTGGGAATTTACTTCCTTTGCAATCTCAAACGGTCACTGAGATAACATTGTAGTCATTTGGGGGGCATTCAAAAGAATGTGACCCTGGAGCTAAGAGTCCAGAGTTTGAGTCCAGACCTTGCCACTGCCTACCTCTGTGAGCTTGGGCAAGTCTCTTAATTTCTTGGTTTTCTCCTCTTTAAATTCTAGCGGTTGGATCCAGTATGGTTTGGTGATGCTGCCCCATAGCTCGGACACGCCATGCATCCGTGACCTGCTTCCCAGCTCACTGGGTATTTCTTGCTTCAAATGGCCCCTCAGGTCTTGGTCATTTGGCTTACCTCAGGTCTGCAGCGGTGTACCGGCCTTCAACCAGGGATGGGCAGGTAGAGGATGGAGTCAGAGTAGCTGCACTAAGGGGGGACATGGAAGGATCCCGCAGCAAAGTCACCGACATCTCTGACAGCTACAAGGGAAAAGGAAAGAGAGACGGGCTCTTTCTCCAGCCTTGACAGTTGCCAGCTGCTCTCGGAGCTGGAGCACAAGCCTGAGGGGCAGAACTGTGACTGATCCGCTCTCTCCTTTGGCCGTCATACAGCTCAACGGATTAGGCTTTCCAGTGCCAAACAAGCTCTAACCAAAGGCCCTTAGACCACTGCTGACCTTTCATGACTAACACCCGGGACCTGACCTATGTCCTCAGCAGGCAAGTAGGAAAGGAGCTGGAGAAAGACATGACAAACCACTCCAGTATCTGCCAAGAAAACCCCAAATGGGGTCAGGGAGAGTCAGACATGACTGAAACAACTGAACAACACACTTACTAACTGTGTGACCCTGGGCAAGTCACTTCACCCTGTTTGCCTCAGTTTCCTCATCTGTAAAACAAGCTGGAGAAGGAAATGGCAAACCACTCCATTATCTCTGCCAAAAAAACCGCAAATGGGGTCAGGGAGAGTCAGACACGACTGAAACAACTGAATAGCAGCAACAATAAACACATTGACTCTGACCCTGAGTCTTGGGGATTGTTCTTGGAATCGTGTTTCACTTTTGTCCTTTGAAAACATAATCATGTCAAATCTGCCCTCAGACACTTGACACTAGCTGTGTGACCCTGGGCAAGTCACTTAACCCTATTGCCTAGCCAAAAAACAAACAAAAAAACCCCCCCATAATCATGGTGCCTCCCTATCAGAACTGAAAGACCTTCCCAGGCCAATGTTTCATAGATTTTCCTGGCAATAGACCGAGGGGGGCTCCTGTGAGAGTCCTGCAGAGGGGTCTGTTTGCATGTCCGTATTGGGGCTCCTATGAGCTGGCAGAGTGAAGTGGTTGTTTTCTCATCCAATCCAGGCCCTGATTATGCCTTCATTCGCCAAAGGAGCCAAAAGAGAGGACAGGATAGCGGATCTGGAGCACAACTGGTTTTTTGTACAGTGAAGGAATTATGTTGTCTGAGTATTTAATAAATGTTAATTGAATCGGAAATTGAAGTAAAACCCCAACCAGTGACCTTATGCTAAATTCTGGGCAATTCTGACAGGCAAAGACAAAGGAGGGATTATACCGTCTAATATATTCCTGTGTTTCATATTCATCAAGAATAAACAGGGCAATTTCTTGAGCAGACCCAAGTGGCTAACAATCTTTGCAATTTGAAGTAGTTTCAAAATGCTGAAGAATTCCCCCACCATGTTACCCATACATATTGATTAGCACTTGAGAACCAGGGCAGAATATTTCTATATTTTACAGGCTGTGTTTATGACCACTTGCCAGTTTTTGACCAATTGCTATCAGAAGCAGTTACCTTCAGTAAGGGTGGCTCACACGGATAAAATACGCAGCTCCTGGCTTGATGGGATTCGAGAGGGGCCAAAATACTTTATCAGATAAAAATGCCACTTCCATTTGCTCATTGGAGCCCAGAAGTGACATCAGATTTTGAAAGACCACGTCAGTGGAACCCAAGTTCTTGCAGGTTCTACCCAATCTGGAAGCCTCCATAAAGGGCCTGATGATGTTTGTTGTCTAAGTACCAGCCCAGGTTGATGCAGAAGGGCCTGGCACCCTCTGATGGTTGGTCATATTGGCCATAGCCTTTCATGGGGTCATCTACAGGGGTCTCAGCTGGTTGAGGGAGGAACTCCAGCGATGAAGTCGCAGATATTTTTACTTATTGGAGAATTTATAAAAGTGATAAATAGGTTTATGTTCTGAATGTTAATCTAGTGTATACTGTTGCTGAGAGTTTATCTGAATAATATCTTTGTCATTCTATTCTTGAAGAGTATCAGTTAGAGAAAAACTTTGTGTCAAAGAATGTCTAGTAACAGCTGTAATTACTGTTTTTTGAGGAATGAGACCTTGGACAAGTCACCTTGTCTCTGGGCTTCAGTTCTTCCATTTGTAAAATGAGGGGGAGCCTAGGTGATCTCTGAGTCCCTCACCGGTGTAAATCTCTGCTGCCAGGCTGAGCTGGCTTCTTGGCTTCACTTTGGGCGTAGAAGAGGAGCTGATTTGCTTACTGTCTCCCTAGGTTGGTTCCTGGCCCACCAGGGTCTGTGGACTTATTCCTCATTCCCAAACCTGGTAAAATGCAAGTACTCCTAACCTCGTAAAGACAATCTGCTGAGACACCTGGTCCCTTTGGTTCCATGATGATAAGTAATCCAGAAACGAGCTTTAATTCACCAAATAAAGGGGATTTTCATTTATAAAATTGTGGGGAGGTCATATGGCTTCCCTTCAGCTTCTGAAGGCCTTTAGCTGGGATGCATTGAGATGCTCAAACGGCATGGAATATGACAATTCTGTGGTGTTCTCAGGGGCGGGGAGGGACCCACAGAACAGGGGGCTCCCGATCCTACCTTGCTTTCACTGGCGCTGACGCACACGTGGCTGTGGGTATACTCTCTGTTGAAGGTGTGTGTGAGGAGGCGGAGGCACTGGGAGGGAAAGAAAAAGAAGCTTCAGTAAATGACCCGTCCTCCTAGGAGCAGATGCTAATCCAAGATGGGAAGAAGGCACATGGTTCACGTAGGGGTGGAGAACTCAGGTCACTGGACAGGGAACTTGGCTTGGACATAAGGCGAGGCCTTAAACAAGAGCTCTGCCCAGGTCACTCGTGTGACTGGCCGTTTAAATCCCAACTAGCGGAGATTTACTTGGTCAACTTCCTTGGTCAGTTTCCTGGCCAGAAGTCTCTGTTTCCTCTGCCCCACCCCAACCCCAAATACAGGTTGGAATCGATAATTTAGAGCCTCTTTCAGTCTTTTTGACTTCCTCATCCTAAGATTCCATAAACAGAGGATAATGGGATAGAGACTGAGACAGGATGAGAATCTAGACACCATGTCATGGGAGGAGCTGTTTCCCGAGTTTACTCTGGAGAAGAGGAGATTTAGGGGAGACAGCTTAGCTGTCTTCAAGTGCTTCAAAGGCTGTCACAGACCACAGGGAGAAGAGAGTCTGCTTCAGAAGGAACAGAATTAGTACGACAGGACCAGGCACTGCCCCTCTCTGGGCCTTGGTTTCTCGCTCTGTACGGTGAGGGGGCTGGGCCTGATGCTCGAACTCAAAGTTCCCATCCAGCTCTCAACCCTATGACCCTACAAAAGAGTATTTAAGCTGAGTTGGGCTCAAGAGCATAGCCAAAGAGTAAGCTAGACTGAAGAGGAGCAGGAGTTGCAGAGGGAAAGCTTTGGTCTGGGTCAGGCACATGGTGAAGAGACGGGAAAATCTGTTCTTGTCTGGCTGAAGGAGGAAGAAGCTTGAGGTGGGCATTCTCTTGCCATTTTTCTGTGTATGGGGCCATGCAGAGATGTCCTGCCTACTGACAGGCCAGACAGGATGTCTTCTAAGGGCCCTTCCAGCTCTTAAGATTGAAGGTTTCAATTCCCAAGAGGGAAGGGAGTACAAATGGCGACCTTCCTATGCCTCAACTCCACTGTTAGTGCCACTCTCCTTTCAGTCGGGTGACTGCAGGGGAATTCCGAAGGGTCCTGGCCAGGGCATGATGAGGTGCACTTGCCTCGGGCAGTTTGGAATGCAAAGTGAAGGCTGGGGAACAGCCTTAAGCCCGAGACCCTCAGAGAAGGGCTGACCGTACCTTGGCCGCCAGCTCCTTCTGTCGTTCACTGGGAATGTCGAGGGTCGTGGTGCGACTCTCTGAGGTGCCGTCTGAGAGGGGAGAGGAGACACAGGAAGTGCTGTGGGACTCAGAATCCTCGCTGGAGCAGGGGGACAAGGTCTCCAGGGCCGATCTCTGAGTTGTCTCCAGCTTTTCACGTAGGAGGAGATAATGTCTTGTCTTTTCAACCTTTAAAAAAAAGAGCATTTTCCAAGTTGTCAGACAGATAATGTTTCTCTTTCTAAATTGCATTCTGTACACTTCTCTGTGAATTGACATCACATTATGGGTGTGGGAGGTGGATGATAACCATTATGCTCATTTCACAGATGGGCAAACTGAGGTCCGTTGGGTTTAAGTCCTGGGTCACATGGTTAATGCGGGAGTGGGGAGTAAAACTGAGATTTCCTTGGTCTAAGAACAAACTGAGATCCCAGGTGAACGCTGTAGAAATAAGCTACTCTCCTCTCATTTTCAGTAGCTCTCTTACCCTTGAGTAATTCCATTCAACAGTGTAATGAAGGCATGATGTGAATTAACTTTTTGTGCCTTCTGTAGGTCACTTACTATGTGAATGTTGCCAGTCACCCTGTACTGTACAATGACCTCAGAATACAAGAGCCGATGGGCTTCAGAATGCAGTCCAGGCTGCGGGAGCCTTCCAGAATTGCCTCTCACTTACAAACTTTCTGTAGTCATCCCAGAGAGGCTTCCCCTGGGTGGAGGAAAGTGAACGCGATCCAACTCTGGAGAGCGGTTGGTTCTGGTCTTGCCTTCGACCCTTCCTCAGCTCAAGGGCCTCCTTTGAAAGGGGGCATCTCCTGGTCCCCCTGGTGCTAGTGACTTCCCTTCTGAGGCTGACTTGGTCAGTACCTTATAAATACCCAGTAATGGACATACTGCCTCCCTAGAGAGAATGGAGCCTGCTTGAGGGCAGGGACTGTCTCATTTTTGTCTAGGTAACCCCAGTGCCTAGCACAGCTCCTGGAATACAGTAGGTGCTTCATAGCAGCTACCTCCCAGGGTTGTTGTGAAGATCAAGTGAGGTAGTGTTATTACCTTAGAAGTAATAAACTTTGTAAAGAGCTTTGTGAACCTTAAAGCACCATATAAATGTGAGCAATTTATCATCATCCTCATCACCACCATCATCATCAATACCATCATTACCACCACCACCATCATCATCATCATCATCATCATCATCAACCTCCCTGGGCTATTATGAGTCTCGAATGAGATCCTGCATGTACAGTGCTTTGCCATCCTCAAGGTGCTTAATTGGCAGGTACCTTCTTGCCATGGAAACCATGTTATCATTTCTTGGATATTTATTTCATATATATATAAATATATATTCCTCCTGAGGGGGGTTGTAAGAGAGATTGTGGTGTGGTAGATAACAGGACTGGCCTTGGCATTAGAAAGGCCTGGGTTCACATCCTGCCTTTGACACATACTGACCATGGGACCCTGGGCAAGTGACCAAAGCTCTCAGTGCCCCAGGCAACACTCTAAGACTAGGTGGCACAAACCTGCTGCCCATCTGCATTAATGGAGGGAGTTTTCACACCAGAAGTTCCCTATGTTTATGGAATCACAAGTCTGTCCCCTCCACCATTCCATCAAAAAAACCCTGAAAAATGGAGGGAGTGGTTGCAAGTATGACTTCTCACCTCTTGAAGTAGACTTAGCTTCTCAAGCTCCCACTGATGGTCCAGGATGAGGCTGTCACTGCGGGGCCTCCAGCCAGCCAGGTTCTCCTCCCCTCGGACATAGGCAACAGAAGTGTCCAGGACACGCCGACGTCTTCTCTGCATTCCTAGAATGAAAGGATCACCCCTGTTTCAAGACCCCTGCTCTCTCCTTAGATGGAACCATCATCCAGACCACAAAAGATGGTGACAGAAGTCTGCTTAGTCATTCACTGAATAGCAACCTGGGGGTCATGGAGCATCAGCCCAAAGTCACATTTCTAAAGACGGGAGGAGGACAGATGCAGCAGAATAAGCGTTTCCCCCTCCAGTAGCCTCTTCCTGGCCCACCTGAGGGACACTCGTAACACAGAGCATACAACTGAAGAGTGAACGTCACCAGCAATGGCCCCTCCGGAGTGCCACAGCACAGGTCATGCACCATGGGCTCAAACAGAGTAGATCCTTCTCTAGGGAGTGGCCATATCAGGTGAACAGTGAAGGTCAGGAGGTTGGCCACTGGGCTGGAGGAAGGACTGGTCTCTAGTGGAGATCTAATTACATCTAGTCCTTCCTTGTGTCTCTCAAGGGGTCAGGCTATAGGTCAGGCCTGACCCTCCGTGACCTAATGGCATAGTTTTATCATACTTGGCCACAGCAAATTGGTGCTAGCCGGGCAGGGGTCTCTCAAAGTCTGAATTCTCTCCATTAGCTCAGGCTCCTTTTATGAAGATACCAGGGGCCAGATTAACACCCAAAGGGTCTGTTCCGATAAAAGACCTAGGGAGTTAATTGAATACTCAGGATTTTAGACTAAAAAGTCTTCAAATAGCCTTTCTAGGCATCTGGTTTCCTTCCAGATCCTTTCCCTAAGCAGGGATGCACATTGACAAGGGTGAGCCTGGACAGCCAGACCCAGTGAGAGGGGACAGGACAGATATCTTACCTGGACTTCCAGCATCAGCCACGCGGCACAAGCTAAGTTCATACACTCCTGTCACCCGGTTGCTGAAAATGAATAGGTAACAACCTTGAGCCTGCTTAAGAACCTTCTATTGCTCCCTATGGCCCCCAGCATAAACTGCTCAGCTTGGCATTTAAGGAATCTAACCTTCTGGCTCCAGCTTGTACTTCCAGGTTTCTTGCAGACTCTGTGTTCCGGTCAACCTTGCCTGGCCTGCCATTGCCTGAACTCCACCTTTTATGTCTTCCCTCCACCCCCTAGCACAGGCTCTTTCCCAAGCCTAGAATGCACCCCTACCTTCCTTCAAGGCTCAACTCAGGTGCCACCTCCTCCAGGGAGTGCTTCCCAATCCCTTAGTGTTTGATCCCTCTGAGATCAGCATGCATGTGCCTATTTGTGTACATACTCTATCCTCTCATCCCCAGTAGAATGTAAGCTTCTGGAAGTCAAGGACTGCTTTTCATCTTTCCATTGTATAGACACCCCAGCACCTTGCATGGGGGTCTGACACATGTGCAAATAAGGTAGAAGATTTGTGATTGAGCAGTGTGGAGATTCCTGCCCCAAATATGGAGCAAAACATAGTTGATACTTGAAAAAGCACAGAAAATGGGAGGGGGGAACCACAAGATTGGAGAAGGGCAGATGTTGCTGCGAGTTTCCAAAAAGTAAGAGAGCAGAATCCAAATCTTACATAGGCCAATGAGCTGGACTTTGATTCCTGGGAAAATTCTAGAAAGGATCATGAAAAGAGATGGTTGGAGCAGTGAGGACAAGAGCCAACCTGGCTTCTTCAAGCACAGGCCATATCAGGCTGGCCTCATTTCTTCATGGCAGGACAACTAAGCCAGCAAATGTTGTGGATACAGCGTACCTAGGTATTAGCGAAGATTTTGATTATGTATTTCATCTATTTTTCATGGAGAAGCTGGAGAGGTAGGGCTTAGATAATAATCCAGTTAGGTAGAGTCAGTGGTTGGATGACCAGACACAAAGAGTAATGGTGCAGTGAGTAGTGCCCCAGGGATGTGGCCTTGGTCCTGTGCTATTGAACGTTTCCATTAATGACTTTGTTAGAGGCAGAGATGGCATGCTCATCCCATTTACAGATTGAGCAAAGCTGGGAGGGAGGGAGGGAGGGACCACTACCATGATGGAGGACAGAGTCAGGATCCAACCATATCATGGCAGGCTGGATCATTGGGCTGAATCCAACAAGATGGAATTTAATAGGAATCAAAGTGAAGTCTGGTTCTTGAGTACAAAAAAAATCAGCTCCTCCAATACAAGATGGGGGAAGCATAGGCAGAAGTAGAGTTGTTTTGAAAAAGATCTGGGGGTTTCAATGGATTGAAAACATTTGGGTCAGTGAAGTGATATGGAAGCCAGAAAAGCTAAGGGGATCCAGGGCCACATCAACTGGAGCAAAGCTCCCAGAAACGGGGAGGTGATAATCCCATTGTTCTCTGCCCTCATCAGATCTCTTCTGAAGCACTGCGTTCATTTTTGGACTCCAATGTTTAGGAGGGACATTGATAATCCAGAGAGTATTGAGAAGAGGGCAACCAGGATGGTGGAGGGACTTGGGTTTGTGATATGTTGATAGGTTGAAGGACGTGAGTTTGGAGCAAAGAAGACAAGGGGGGCCTACGATGGTTGGGTGTGAGTGCTGGAAGGGCTGCCATGTGCAAGATGTAGACTTGTTCTGTTTGGTCTCAGAGGGGAGAACCAGGTGCGGCCAATGGCTGCCGGTCGAAAAGAGGCTAATTTAGCCTTGATGTTAATCAGATTTTATCAGCATTGCGTGAATAGGACTGGATTGCTTCTTTTCTACAGCTCACGCATCTGACAGATGCTAAATCCCATAACAAAAATGATGATGACGAGACAGTTTGTGTTTCTTTTTCTAAAGAACGGGAAAGTCACTTGCTGGATACTGAGAAGATGAATTTTAATCTGTGAGCAGGGACATCAAAGCAATCCTTTCCATTGCCAACATCCCAGGGGTCATTCTAGGGATCAGCTGGCCTAGAACTGACGGGTTATGGGATCTGAATAATAGGGAAGGGTCTGTTTATAGCTCAATCATTTCTACTGACTCTTCTTGCTCCTCAGAGGACCTGATCATTGAGCCTGTGTTCTTTATTATACAGTCATTCAATCTTAAGAATAGGAAGGGACCCTAGAGGCCATCCAGGGTGACTAGTATCTGAGCTGAATTGAGAGCTGAAAGGAAACTTACAGATCTTTGCAGGCAAGTGCCATATTTTCATCTTTCTTTGTGTCCCCAGCACATAGCCTAGGGCCTGGCACATAGTAAACACTTAATAAATAAATGCTTATTGACCAACTGACAAGTGTCTTATCTTTTCTAAGACGTTTCTTGGCTGATATTTGGAACAGCCTCACTCGATGATCCTTCTAAGGCACAGCATCTGTGGTCCATGCCATGAGTCATAGGTCTAGAGAGTGAAGGCATCTTGGAGACCATCAGATCCAGCCCTCTCATTTTACAGAGGCCCGGAGGAGGTTAGGTGACCTGTCCAGGGTCACACAGCTGGTAAGTGTTTGGGGCAGGATTTGAAGCCAGGTTTTCCTATCCCCACATCCATCTACTCTGGCAGACTGTTATTTTGATCACCTTCTTTTAGATGGCCTAAATTTGTCACAGGTGTGGAAAATATCAATTCTATAATTTACTTAGAAGACCTTTCCTGCTCCCTATAAGTCTTTTGCCAGAGCATGCATAAGGATCTTTTTTCAAACTGTTTTTAGGTGACCCTCAGCGGTTCTTGGAAGCATCTTCTGCCTCTTGGGGCCTTGGGTGTAACTCTGTATTGGTCACTCCCTTTCTCTGCTGGGCTCTTAACCTTGTGGCACTGCCCATTCCAAAGGCACACATGGTCATAGCCATAACTCATACCTTTCCCACCCTGGGGGCCTGATATGTTGATCACAGAGCTACAACTAGTAATTGGTGTCCCCAGAGTAGGACACACTGTTCCTGATGTAAACAGCACAAAACACACCGTGAGACTCCTCTGGGGGTAGGACTGGGAGGTGTGGATGGGTGAGAAACAGGGAGGAGTTGCCTAGGGAAGTGGGAAGAGCCCCATTGAGTGGCTTCTTATTTTCACCAATTATTCTTATGAGGTCAGTGCTAAACTTGGTTGTTTCTGTGTTGCTAAGGTTACAAAGGCTATTGGCCCCTCTCTCAATGCAGGAGCCCTGGACTTCCTACCCTACTTACAGCTCTAACTGATGCCCCTTTCCAGCCTATTCTCCACTAATGCTCAAAGTCATGCAATGTGTTTGTAACAGAGCCAAGGATATAGAAGCCAGCCCCCTGTTTCTATCCCACTATGATCAGAAAGCCCCCCAGAGGAGGGTCCCACTGGATGGTAGGCACAAGTCCTTCACTATGATGCATTTGATGGGTGTAATCTTTTCTTACTGAGTCTTTCCCATCTTCCCGAGGCAACAACCCTGGGGAGGACCTTACCTCTCAGAGGCCCGCAGGCTCCCACTGCCAAATAGGTTGCGGATAGAACGAGATGCTGGGAGTTTAGCGTCCCGGGAGTAGAACACCATGCAGAAGTCTTTGGTGATCACAGCAGGCTGGGTACAGTTCTCCATCTGAAACACAGCAGGGAAACTCAGCAAAAGGGAACCAGGGATGGTCTTCCGAGGAGTGGATGACCTCTAGTCGCCTGGCCTCTGCCTCAGCGTCTCCTGTGCTTGTACATTAAGTCAATGGGCACACTGCTTCACATCTCCACTCGCAGGTTGGCTGGTACCCTACCCCCTCAGCGGTCTCAACAATTCACTTCAAACTTGAGGTCACTGTCTCCCCTTTGTCTTGTAACTGGATCATCCCCAAAATGAGCAATGCCTTTTACAGATGATGCTCCATAGGCATCCTTTCCTCTGGGTCTCACCATGGAGGCCACTTCTGCCTTCCTTCATGGGTCTGCCTGAACAAAGGACACTGGGAAAGGTCTCAGCACAGCTTACCTTTAGGCTGATAAATGGATCAGAGCTGAGGATAACTATTTCTGGAATGAATGAATGCACACATGCCCCTAAATGATGAATGGCAGATTTGACCTAATTTTTAGAATGATCAAATTCCAAAGCTGAGGTAGCCTTCGAAATTATCTAAGAGGGAGTGTTGCATTGCTGTGAAAAGAGACCAGTCTTGGTATCCCATCTCTGATACCTACTCGCTAGCTATGTGGCCATGGGCAAGTCAACTAAATGCCCTGGGCCTCAGTTTCCCCACCTGTAAAATGGGAATACTCACATGTCTAGAACCCATCTCACAAGATTGTTGGAAGGATCACATGAGATCAGATTCATAAAGCCTTTTATAAACCTCAAAGGGCCTTGTAAATGCCCGGCCATTGTGATCTAATCCAACTGTTTCTTTCATAGATGAAGAAACAAGGCCAGAGAGGGCAACAGCTTTGTCCAGTGTTACTCACATAAGCAATTAGTGGCAGAGTGTGAGTCTCTGAGCCGGGGTTCCCAAGACAAGCACCCTGCACACTCTATCATGTTACATCTTGGGTTATTTTCTTTCCAGATGTTGTTTAGTCTACACTGTGATTTTACCTCTAACTGGAAGTCATGTGATGTGAACTATGAAAGCTTCATCTCTTCCTTCTCAGCCTTCCAAGCAGTTGTCATGGCTGATAGGCATTGCTCCATCCGTATTCACAGATCCCCGTGACCCATTAACCCTTCCCCTTGTTCTGCTGGGCTAGGTTTGCCAGGCACATACAGAGAGCCACTGGTCGGGGTTTCAGACCCTGGTTCTTATTTCTACTTTCTGACATTTCCTGAGGTTCGCTGGGATCTAAACCCTTTGGGGAGTTGGGAAATCAGAGTAGCTACCCCCAAGCATTTGGGTCCCAGGGCTGCATCCTTTGGACTACTGATGGACTTGGAGGTTTTGCCCTGGGAAGAGGTCAAGTTCCTTGCCTCGATATAAGCAGATAGTGTCATGTAGATCTTCTCGCGGTAAGGGGTGACCCGATTCAGCAGAAGGGAGTTGTGCATTGAGCTGTCCCAAGCTGCTTCAAACTGGTAGAAGGTCCTGAAAAGAAGCAAAGATGGGTAAAAACCCAACATGGGTAAAAACCCAGGCACGCCGGAGGCAGGGGCCAAACATGCAAACACATGGACACACACGGGTGACGAGCAGATGTAGCTGCCCCGGAGTGCCAAAGCAATGAAGTCTTCCAGGAGGAGGGAAGGCCAGGCTTCCACATGCCCCCTCACCAGGAGGCTTGGGGATTTGGGCAAAAGGCAAACAAAAAGGAGCCCTCGGAGGGTCGGAGTATTTGAGGACCTGGTGCTTTGGACAGAGATGGAAATTCTCTGAATGACACAGGGGGAGATATGAAGAGTCAAAGAGGGGAGAGAAGGAAGGCATCAGGTTAGACCTCTCACTGTATTACAGCAAGGGAAACTGAGGCCTGATGTGACTGGCCCAAAGGCCCACAGGTGGCCATGGCAGAGTGGGATTTGGACTTCAATTCTAAGACGCCAAATCCAGTGTTGGTTCTTGTGCACCATGATGTATCTGCCAACAATGGGCAGCAGGGAAAGGAAGAGAAGAGAGGGAGAGTCCAAGATGGAGAAAAGAAAGAGAGAAGAGAGTGAGGATAGAGGAGGGAGAATGAATCAAAGGAACCTAGGGAGGGCAGAGAGAAAGAGAGCACAGAGAGACAGAGACAGACAGAGAGACAGGGAAAGATAAAGAGGGACAGAGAGGCAGAGAGACAGAAAGAGAGGAGAGAGAGAGAAGAGACAGGGACAGAGATAAAAGAGTGATAGAGAGACACAGAGACAGAGTGATGGAGAGAGCTGAGAGACAGAGATGGATCAGCAAGGTGACTGAAGCCACAGAGAGCTGCCTAGGCATGGGGGATCGTGGCACCTTTTGCCCCTCTGAATTGAACCAAATGACTTTGTAGCGGCAGCACTCCAGGGCGCCATCTCTGCAGTCAAACACAAAGCATCAACACCTTCCTTCCGGGAACTGGAAGAACTCTTTGAGCTGTGTGAGGATGTTCAGAATGGAAACCAGCAGGGAGACCCCACTCCCACCCCCCATGTGCCTCTGCCCTCTTTTTGGTTTCCCTTTCCATGGGAATTCCATCCCTGAGAAGGTCAGAATCCATCTTGTGGGATTTGGGAGAAAAATGGCTCTGAGAGGGAAGATACCCAGGAGCTGCCTTCCAGAAATCAGGGGAAAGACTCATTTCTGATGAAAATGGAGCTGGGGAAAAGCCCTGGGTTTACAGCTAAAGGGCCCGGTTTTGAATCCCAGTTCTTCTGCTTTAGAGCGCTAGGATATTGGAGAGGTCCTCTCCCTTCTCTGAGCCTCTGTTTCCTTCTCTGTCAAATGAGGGGCTTGGCCTCTAATGGCCCTTCCAATTCTAGATCAACAGTCCTGCAACATGCTCCAGGTTCCCTTTTATTTTGTATCTCAAGCAAGAAAGCACAAGCCTTTGTAAGTTCTCCTCTTTTCACGTGGTCTCTTTCTCTTAACAGTGAAACATCAGCTGGCTGCTGACCTAGGTCCCCACTCAACACGTTCTTGAGAGGATCTCTCTATATTTTGTGATCCTTTCTATCAGACTCAAGAGGCAGCGTGGGATAGCAGAGAGCCAGCCTCAGACCCATGCTGGTTGTATGATCTTCGGTCCATCATTTCACCTTTTTGGTACCTGTGTAAGATTCCAGGCTGCAGACGAGGGGCTGACCTGTGTTAGCTGAAGGAGTTTTCTACATTAATGAAATCATAGGTCCAGCACCCTTCCCTTCCTTAGCTTCTGAGAATGTACATCAAATGTCTGCCTTTCTCCCATCTTGTATGCCTTCTATATATGCTTTTCTATGCATATATTATTCCCTCTTGCTAGATTGAGAGCTTCCTGAAGACAAGGACTCTTTCATTTCTGTATTTGCATCCTCAGCACTTAGCACAGTGTTTGGCACATAGTAGGTATTTAATAAATGCCTGTTGATTGACTGATTGAATAATGCTCAAACTCTAGGAAATGAATCCTTGGAAAGTTAAAACTGGGATCTAGGCATATGTTACTAGTAAAAGGTTCAATCTCTTTTCTTTCCTTTAAGATGAGGGAACTGGAGTCACTGAACCATCAGCATTGTCCAGGAGCACTGAAGACTCTCATATCTGTATATACTTAGAATTACGGCATCACCAACGTCAGAGATGGGAGGGACCTTGGACATCATTTAGTCTAATCCTTTCAATGAATGTTGCCCTCTGATAGTTAACCCAGGCTACATAATCAATACTTTGGAAGGCTCCCCATTCTTTTGGAGGGAGCAACATTCTGGGGGGTTAGTATTTTCAGAGTTATAGATTGAATCCTGAAAGTTGGAAGGTTGCTCCCCTCTCCCACCCTGAGGTCATAATCACATTGAGCCCCATCATTCCCAAACAGCATGGTTTCCAAGTTCTTGGCCCACTCAGGAGCTGTAGGTGAGGGTCATCTGTTTTTAGTCTTATGCATATGCCTCAGTTCAAGATGTCTAGGGTTTGCCTTCAAAAATTCTTGAGATTCTCCTATCAGAGCCCTGAAGCCTTGTCCTGGTTTCCATCTGATTATCCTCCGGAAGACGTGGTTCAAAGACACTTTAACACCAACATTCCATCACCAACAACACAAAAGTTAAGCCCAGCCAAAACCCCTTTAGGAAGAACAGGTACTGCAGGCAAGAGTCCATTGGCTCAGCCCCCTCCAGTTTCCAAGGATAGGCCTTACCAGTTCTTTGTAAAGTGGGTTTGAGAGGGTATTTAGGCACAGACAGCTAGATCATTTGCCTATTCTAGATGCCACAGTTGAATGACAGGAGGTCTGGGGTCTCAAACAAATCAGGGACATGGAACTACAAAGAAAAACCAAGATGGGGACCACAAACATGAATCACTTTAAGGGGGATGGATAGTTCCAAAGGAAAGGTTATAAGGAAAGTGGGATTCAGAGAAAACAAGAGTAGATAGAGCAGGGAAAAAAATCAAAAACAGAAAAAAAATTTTAAAAAGAAGGGTACAGACCAAGCAAGTGCGGAAGAGAAAAGTGAGGTTATACCTAGTGTCATTTCCGAATGAAATGCTATAGGTGGGAGGCAGCCCAGGACACATACACGGACACACACAGAAGAAATTAAAATGTCAGAAAACACTGTCCAAATGGTGTCCAGTGAGAAGAAGCTAACTCCAAAAAGTCACAAAGTATATACGTGACAAAATGTGAGCTGTGTCCAGTCATGGGTTTTGGTGTGGCCAGAAATGTGGCAGAACTTGCATCTAGATATGGCCAGATACGGCCGACTATGCAAATGATAAATGACTTCATCCTGTTTCCCAAAGCCCCAAACCTGGACAGACCATTCACATCCCATGTCAAGGCAGCTGGAGGTGGAAAGAGCTAAGGGCATTTGGGTCCATGTTCATGGACTTACGGGTGTATTCACAGGGCCCTACCCAGAACCTTAACCTTAGCTCTTCTGGATTCCCCCCTCCATTTACTCCCATGCTAAAAGAGCTGCACATTCTGTGGAGGGCCAGAATGAGATCTTGGGGGGCTCAGGATAAAAGCGACTCCAAGACAGGATGATGTTCAGGAGTTGATTCCCATCACCACCACCACCAACAACACAGAGAAAGACTTCATTTCCAAGAAAGCCATATCAACACCAATGCTAATAATCAGTGTCAAAGACATGGACAGTCAGAGAGGCCCAAGAGCCCAAGGGCTGAGGACCTTCTATGGTGAAGAATTTAAGAGTCACAAAACAGTCAATTCAAGGAGACAGGGGAGAAAAGTATGCTTATTCATAAGACAGAGGACAAAATGTCAAAATTGAAAGTGACCACCCAGACCAAACCAAGCCTGAATAAAGATCCTCTACTAAGGCATTACCCAGTCTTTGCTTGAAGACTTCTAAGGAGTGGAACCTCACTCTCTCCCCAGGCAGCCCATTCCACCTTGCATTAGGAAGCTTCCCCTGCTAAACCAGGCCCTCTGTGGCTTCTGCCCTAGTTGTGTTTTCTGGTGCCGACAGCCCTTCCCAAACTTGAAGACAGACACCACATCCCAAGTTAAACATCCTGTTCTCCTTCAACCCATCCTTGTCAGGCAGGCTTTCTAATCCGCCTTCCTCTACACATAATCTGACTTGTCAGTGTTCAGCCTAAAATGGGTCATCCAGAACTGGGAAAAAAACTAACCAAAACCCACAAAACTAATATTTCAGCTGTGGTCTAACCAGGTCGGAGAAGACGGGAATGATCATATTCTTCTCCTACACACAGTATCTCTCTTAATGAAACCTAGGACAGGATTTGTTTCATGGCTTACTATTTTGGGTCTCCATGTCTCAGGGCATTCCTAGCCTTAGCAAGACCCCCTTCTCTAGGACTGTCCAAAAAGAGTTGCAGTTTTTGTAGGATTTCAGCGTCAGAAGCTGCCCCAAGGCAGCTAGTTTGTCTGTCTCAACTCGATGCCCTGGAATTCCTGGTGGTAGCTACTCCCATTTTGTTAGCTTGTTTTGTTTTTGTTTTTAAATTTCTGTACTATCACTCAGCTCTGGGCAGCAGGCCTTCAAAGATATTTTGACCACAAGATATCAATACTTGGAATTTTGTGGCCAAAGTTCTCTCTGTCTTCTCCAGCTGTTGTGTTAATTGGCTTCCTCACCCTATTAACTCACCCTGAAATCTATCTCACTCCAAACTAGTCCAGCCTCACTTCTCTTCCACCCTCCTACTCTGGCCCCACTGATAAAAAGGGGCCTCCATTGTTCCTTGACTGAGTCAAGGAGACAGAAACAAGAGAATATTCCATTTTCAAGATTGTTTAAAATAAAAGCAGAAAATGGAAAAGCCACACCTTTGCTCAGTGGGCCCATGTTTATTTAAAACATGCCAAACCTCAGGTTCAGGAATCTGAATTTGAAAGAAGTGTCCATTACTTTGAGCCAACCAACCATTGGTCATCACTGGGCAAGCTTCCTGCCCTGTTCCTTCATGGACACTCATATTTTTCCCAATCC